CCTGTGTGAAAATACTGAAATTACAATGGAAGAAGAAGGGGACTACATTAATGTATTGCTTCTTATAGACGAGTAAAACTCGGCTAAACAAAGACAAACTTGGCTGTATTGTTTCAAAAAAGACAATATTTCATTGAAATAAAGAGTGCAAACATGAAGTGATAAATTCTTGTTTGAATCAGCTTATTTTACTTTTATGGAGAGCCATCGTTATCCTCTTGTTTAAAATTAATTGTACATTGTACCATTGGAAAACTCTGAGAAGTTCTAGAATTTTAATTATTTAAATTTACTGAAAAATAAACCTTTTTTATAGAAAAATTATGATTTTGTAAATGTTACAGTATAACTTTTTTACGATTTTGTTTAAAATTCTTTTTTTTATGATTATTTTTCATAATTATCTATATGATTTGTTTTCTTAGCAAACACACTTAAAAGTGAATTTTTAGGGTGGTTATTTTTTCTATTTCATTTTACAATAACCGCAAATGAAACCAGTGAGCAAATCTGTTTACGTATAAATTTGCCAGAATAATCCAATGAAAGTTATTACTAATTTTATCAGATTTTAAGGTTTGACAACTAAAGTAAACTGTTGTAAGTGTAGAGCTTCTAAAACAAATCTGAAGCTAGAATATATATGGCAAGTTAACTGATCCAGCAATAAAGTTGATTAGTTTGTTCTTTTTTTATCTTTGAATTGTTTAATGCCTTTGTCACCAGTTAAAAATCAGAATGTAACATAGAAAATACTGCAAAAACTAAAACATTATAATATAATCATGTTATGAGGAAGGCATTACATGGACACCGCAGTCCATCATTTCGTTACACAGATATTAACATTTCTTAAGATCTTTCAATGATTTTCTATGCATCGATTTCCCAACTATACCACAATAATTGACATGTTAGTCACCATACTTCTGTCGAAGAAGTTTTTTTTAACATCTACTATAGTAACATTTTCCTGATTTAAATCTAATTAAGGCTTTGTAGAAAATTTCATGTATTAATGTAGCGTATACCACCACCAGAACAAGTATTAACTTTTTTTAGATAGAACTAAACGGTTCCATGTATAATTTGGACCCTGTCGAAGTGTGTATTCTCTCCCAGTACGTTTTATTATCAGACTCCACAACTGATATTCAACGACGTCACTGAAATTCAACGAATAAATTAAGCATGAATATCCATTTTCAAAGTCCTAGATATATATTTATGTTTTGAGCACCATATTCTAGATTATTTTTGAACAAAACCTTTTATTATTATTTTCAAAATGATAACATAAAAATGACCGTTGTAATTTGAATGTACAAACAACGACGTTTATGGCATTACAAGACCTCCGTTAAAAAAACAAACTTTAAGCTCTTTAGATATAGAGTAGGATAATTATCCTTTAAGGAACAAAATATTATAGTATACGTGCTATATTGTAGATGCATCAAAATGACTGTCTTTTACAAGCATGTTCGTCAACAGAGATATACCTGTTCGTATTAATTAAGAAATTAAAAGCCCTTATGATTGAACAAGATTTAATGACAGAAAAAATGGGTTTGATAGCATTTTTATAATGTTTACAGGTCCGTGATTTGGAAAAGTTCCCGAAGACTTCAAAGGTATATACTTATATTTCTGCTTAATAACACGAGAATTATACATGTATAAATGTAAAGAATGCCAAGATTTTATCAGTCAAAGTCTACATCTATGATACATAGTAATTCCTTGACCAATACTGTTTCAAAAGGTCCCAACTGTTTTGGGGTATTTTTTTTGTTTGTTTCATTTTACGCCTTTTCCAAACAGTATTTCAGTCATATAGGCGGGTAGTTTCCTAACCATCGTTCCTGGAGAGTTACACCAGTACTAGACTACCTTCCTCCGCGCTAAACTACCAAAGCATCTCCCGGGGATCGAACCCACGCCAGAGAGGTAACTGGATTAGAAGTCATCGACTCTAAACACATTGGATGACGGACGTAAAAAGCTGAAATTTACTTTCAGGCATTTAATCGGGCAATTGCCAGGTGTGACAGTTGGCATTTATCAATTAACAGTAAGCATTAAGCAGTTGACAGTAAGCAGTTGACAGTAGGCAGTTGACAGTAAGTAGTTGACAGTACGCAGTTGACAGTTATAAGTAGGCTGTCGTTTATGGAATTCCGTATTGGCCCATTAACTTTCTATGTGGAAAGAAACAAAGTCAAAAGATAAGTAGAATTTAAACAAAAACTAAATTAAACCGCGTCTAAGGGTCAATTTAATTCAATAAAAAAAAAGTTATGTTTAAGTAGCGTTTTAATAATTCATGAAAACAGCAAAGGGAATGCTTTTATTAGTAACCTATAGTGAAAATTGCAGATAAAATCCATTCACTGTGAGGACTGTAAATTACAGGAAACATAATAATAGCCCTGTAAATCACTATTTTGACGTCCTACCGGGTGTTAAAGACCTAATATGGTTTAACTTTATGGTGACAATAAAAACTTAAATTCATATACAGGATTCCGCAAGTGTATTTAAAAGATTTTCACTCACAGGCAATGGATTGTCATGCATTGGATTGCAAGTAAACTTCTTCATTAAAACTGCCCTCAAAAGAAAAATTTTACCCTCGTGTCAAGTAAACCACGCAATACCAAATAACCTGTGTATGACAATGGTAAATGAAGAATCATGAATTTAAATATACTTGTAATTTTCTCAGCAATCTGTTATTGTAGCAAACTCATAAGACATATCAACGTACCGATAAGATATGAGCCGCGTCACGACAAAACCAACGTAATGCGTTTGCGACCAGCATGGATCCAGACCAGCCTGCGCCTCCGCGCAGTCTGATCAGGATCCATGCTGTTCGCTTACAAACCCTATTACAAGTAGAGAAACTGATAGCGAACAGCATGAATCCTGATCAGATTGCGCCGTGCGCAGGCTGGTCTGGATCCATGCTGGTCGCAAACCCATTATGTTGGTTTTGTCGTGACGCGGCTCAATTATATACTTTTATTTGTAATTTGTAGTGACATGTGGAAGCTGAACAGAAGTAACGTGTTATACTGGTTGATATTCTTTTTCCGTTTTAGTTTGCTTTTGTAAATGGTATTCACATAATATTTTACAAAGTAAAGGTTCTCTAAGGCGACAACGTTCCATGTCAAAAACTAACATTGTACTAATGAGTGGAATAATAAGAAATGATTTTAATGAAACAAATGACAAGGGCGATTTTTTTTTACTTCCTCGATCAGCCCTCGTGGCAATATAGAATCTGTCACAGAGCTAGATATTTGTAATAAAATTCTCTGCATACGTGTACGATTGAAATACTAAGGGACTTCCAAACATAGCTATAATTAGTGTCTTTAGTATACTTAATGGCTTTTATCTTTTTATGGATGATGTTATTAAAGCTCGACTTGGGACAACTATTGTATATTTCCAATATTAATTTTTATTACAGAATAATACACAAAATATTAAAACATTGATTGTTTTATGTTAATGATCGGTTATTATGTTGATGCTTTTTATATCATGCACCTATGGATCTCTTCAGCACATATGGAGCTCAGATGAAATTCTGACCGGCAATTCCTTTATTTTTAACCAAATCTCAATAAATATTTCAATAAGGGTTTATTTGAATGTTAAGCATCGTTTGGTGGCAAGATTTTGTGAAAACACTTTATTTTTAGTCCGTTCAGCGACATTTTCTTCATACGCATTGCATGTTTTGGGCACACCAGAAACCACGACGGAAAGAATATGTGGGTGACGGATGCATAAAAATCCGGAACAAAAATGGGTATATATGGAGGAAAATCAGGGGGTAGAATCACATTTCGATTTTCTTCCAAAAAAATCTTTGAATTTTATATAAACATATATACATTGTATAACATTTCTACATAATATACAAAAGGGTTAGGCCAAAAGTTTTTTGCAACATAATTGGTGGCTAACTGTTTCACATCAGTTTCATAAAGTTAAGTTAAGTTAATTTATATGCATTAAGTAATTATACCTTTTTAATTTTTAAATAGTTAAATTGATATTTTAGAAATATAAATGGAAGAGAAAAGTTGCTGTATCACAATCAAACTGTGCCAACAGTTGTGTGTCAAACGACGCTACTATACATACCAGTTTTGAAGCACATACCCATTTGTTAGTACATGTATTGATAACAATGTACAATACTTTTTATAATTTAAAAAAAAAAGAAAAACGAAAATAATGTTTAAATAAACTTCTTAACCATCCTTGATATAATTCTGAACATGCTGGAATTTTATAAACACTTATTTTGAAAGTCATGTAAATTCTGGATGCCAATGAGTAGCTTTTTAGTACTTAACTAAGCGGTGGAATTCTCTGGTTCTTGATAATAATTTTCGTCTTTGTAAAGTGTACCTTTGGCATTGAAATAAAAAATGTTCGGCATTTCTTGCATTTTGAATTATATTTTTATGTGAACAGGTCAGATTTCAGATTGCTACATTTATTCCTTATACAAGCATGATGACATCAGATACACGATCACCTTTGATATAATGTGATGACACAACCTTTATGCAATGTTATCAATGTTTTTATGCCCAACGAATTAATTATACGACCTCAAGTTTACAAAATACATTATGTAGACCCTAATCATGTTTGTTAAACTGATTTCGAATGTAACTGGTGTATTCAATCAAAATTTCTTATCATGCATACCAATGTCGCCATTCCATGTAAACAAATGACTTTTTGTTTGAAAAAAGTAAATTATGAAGGTCTATAATGAAGTTTATATTTTTAATAAATTTATCGCGTGAAAATCCATGTCATCAATTTTATAATAATATTTTTAATTTATTATTCATGTTTTAAATTTTACGAAAAGGATCATAAATATGACTATCACTTCCACTGAAAATGATAATCTATGAAAAGGGCAGATAATCCAAATTTTACAGCTCTACAGTGTACTGTAGTCACATGACTTGTCATATGATTGTTCAAAATGGTGGACGGACAGAAGCTATCGTATTTTGTGTTGGTGTTTTTCGGTGTTCTGGTAACTGTACATTGTTCACCAAATAAAGTTGATGTTGCGTATGTAGTGAAAGACAGTTCTGGATCATTTAGTATTATTAAAACAACTCCAGTTCAATGGGTGGCAAAGGCAGAGTTTTCAAACAAAGTGAACGAAACTGGGTAAGTATCTATGAGAATACTGTAGCTACACTGTACTGTACAGTACAGTACGTATAGCAGACACTTTGAGTACATTTCTTTTGGTCAGTGCAGAGAAAAGTAATTTTTTTAGTTCAAGCATCTACATTATTAAAAGGATAAGTACAGGAAAAGAGCCCATATGCTCAATAGATCTACTGTAAAATTATAAATAGCACCTTGGAGTTGAATATCATGATGATGTTCTATATCATTATCAGTACTGGTTGGGGATCACCAAAACCGGACAACCACCATACCGGGACGGCCCCGAAAATGCTTAATTAAAATATTTTTCATTGTTCATTGGTTGTCGATAGATCAGTCACTTTATAACAACAATAAATGCATGTTTCTTCTATAATTAAGTAATTAAATTTATTTCAATGGTAATATTTTAATGTCTATTTCAAGAATGTTGACACTGAAAATTTGGGGGTTAAGAGTGCAATAGCTGACCTCATAAACCAGCTATAATCATTTGCAGAGTAAACAATAAAATATCCAAAACGTCAGCATTTGCTACTGAAATATTGTATATCATGTTGCAAATAAAAATTAAAACACCCTAGCATTTAAATGAATTAAATCACATAAAAGTTTAAAAAATGTCCGGAAAACCCTGTAAATTATTTAAGACAATTTAGGGAATTTTTAAAACGGGTCCTTGATGAAACCCCCAAAATATTTAAATGAAAAACCCAATTTAAAAAAAAAAAAAACTAGGTTTTTTAGTTTGGAAAGAAACCCAGCTGTACTGTTCAAATTTTTAGGGCTCTAGGTTTTCAATTATAAAATCTTTATGGAAAAATGTTCAAAAAGTGTCCGGTTGATGGTCCCTGACCAGTATGGACAGTTTATTTTTGAACTCTTATTTCATACATGAAATACAGAAGTAGAAATGTAAAGTTTTAAATAATAAGCATTTGGAGATTAACTCTTGAACTTGCATTATACATGTACATGATACATCATTCATATCAGGCTAAAGTTGCTAAATGTATATTTTTTTCAAAAGAGAGACTTGAATTTATAATGCCCTACGTCAATTGCATGTTCTAAAGACTGAACATATCTGGGAAAAGAAGACATTTGTATTTTGAAAAGTGTTCATAAAATGCATCAGAAGCCACCATTCAGATTTTATTTCATCCCTAGTAAGGGGGACAAGTCAGTTTTTTTTATTTCAAACTTAAGCATTTCCAGTTAAAAATACCTGACTCCATACCAGGATTGGTGCATACTATATTATTAAAAACTGCAAAGTATGCTTTGATTGAACTGTGTTAATGCCTGTTTGACTACTTCATGACTTGCTTATATTTGAAATGAAATGTCAATTTTCAGCTGCAACATTCACATGGGATATCTTTTTGTTGAACTTAATAATTTAACATGAAATTACAGGTGGTCTTATCTGAGTGTGACAACAAATGGTGACTATACAGATGAGGAACAGTCATATGCTGCAGGTGCTATTGAAGGCTACCTCACCAAAGATCATATTACAATGCACTGGAAAAACACTGTTGAAGGTCTGTTTTTGAATATCAACCTTGTAATTCTTTTCATTAGTGCAGCATAACATAATGAGTCCTATTCAGGGACTGCATTTAGGGTGAAGTCAGGCAAAAAGTCACTTTTCTCTAAATTTTCAGTTCAAAGTAGTCCCAGACTAGTGGAAAAAAGACAACATAAGCAGTATGGACAATTGATTTTAATACCTCTGATACATGTAGCTGCTAGTTATAGTTTACAGAATTATTGTTTGAATTTTTAAAATAAATATCTCATAAGAGCCTGTATGAAAGAAATATTTTTATATAATTATTTCCATAAAAGTGAATGATCCATGTATGACGTTTAAATTTTGCTTAAAATGATGGCATAAAATTCTTTTCCAGAAATTTTTTTTATTTTGTTAATTCAGTTGTATTCATTCTCTTAAATAATAGAGACATTCTTTGCTCCATCTCTTTTGAAAATCAACATGAGTTTATGGAAACAACATAATTTTACCGTTTATGATCTTTAAAAAAATTAATTCATGAGATATTGCTATATTATATACCTTTTGATATAACTTGTTTTAAGATAATCCATTCAGAACTCTTTCTACTTCCTTCAACCTTTATTTAATATAAATTAGACATAAAAATGCTTTTCAGGACAATTCTGTGAAAGACCTTTAAACCCAGAGTGTCATCAACTGAGAAACTTTCTTCAAAATAATTTGGACTGGATGAAAGATAACATCAAATCTCAGAACACAGTTTACTGGAATTTGGTGAGTCTAGTCAACAATAAGAGGGCAAGCTATCTTATGTAGCCAGTAGAGAGCCAGACCACTTTGCACATGTGACGAGACACCATACTTTTAGCTACATTGTGATGATAAAAAATCACAAAAGAAAAAAGTCTGTTACACAATGTTAGTAGAGAAAGGGATAAAATATAGTTAAAAGGAATTGGTCATTAACTTCAAATAAGTTGAGTAAACAAATTTGTATTTATATATGTGAAGAAATCATAGTTTAAAGAAATAATGGAAAATAACATTTAATGTAATAGAATCCTTTTATGTTTACAAAGCACTTCTTGTTAAATGGTGAATTATTAAATTTAGTTATTTGCACATTCTTTGGGTCCGCATTCCTTCATTTTGTGCTGTTTTGACTGTAACAGCAGACAGCAGGTGACCACTGCAGACATTTGTGTAGAGATTGTGTAGATCAGTATAACAGTTGTTGACTGGTGATCACAAAAGTTTGACTGGATCTCATCCTTCATGCACATATCAGCTGAAACACATGAATAGCATGCACCTGTTAAATATGACCTCAGTTTGCAAGTGTTCAGTATTTTGTATGAATTGAAATCATTATTATAAATAAATACAAACCAAACTCAGATAAGGTAGGAAGCAAACATGCCAGCACTGGATAATTTAAAAAAAATGATTTAATCTACTTATTTCAAACACGATTGTGATGTACAGAAAACAGTACATTTAAAATATGCAAATTGTGGAAGATGATATATCACATGAGAGTTAAATATAGTAACAAATTATACTAAAATTAGATAAAAATGGCTGTTTCTTTCCCAAGAAACTCTATGAACTGTACCAACTTCAGTAAACTTACAAATTTTAAATCTTAAATTGTTTTCTGTTTGAAATTGTCATTATATTTAGAAAATATAGCATATATTCTCGAATTAAATACATGTATATACTTAATGTATGGGAATCAACTTCTATATCTAAATTACTAAAAAAAGTCTTCATTTACAGGTAAAATTATTCCTTGTTCAAACTGTTGGACTTACAGATGGTTACTTCAATAAACTTGGTGGTGTATCAACAGAGGTTGATCCTTTTGGACTGTAGTGAGTTTCATTTGCCAATTTTCATAATGTGTGCACATGTTTTTGTGTGCATGTGTTATAGATATTGAATATTTCTAATGTACAAGGATATAGCAAATGATCTGAAGTACAAGAATTAATTTTAATATTCTATAGACACAGACATGTACATTATTACACAAATAAAATATGAACATGAGTACAATTTCACATGTTTTAATGACACATTTGGTAAAGTAAAGTCAATGTGAAATAAAAAGTGCATAAGGATTCCTTGCCATGACTAATTCTGTCATTTCACATGTTATCGTTACTTTTCTCATCACACATATCATTACATCTTGTCATTAAGAATTTTGATGAATTTTATAAAATTGCATTATCATGTACATGAAAATAACTGAGCGTATTTTTCTTTTGACCAGTGTTTTGTCGTTGAGTGGAGACATGGAAGATATTCCAAATGCTCTCAATCCATACAGGAAGAAGAAGGTGGTTGGTTCAGGATCATGCTCTGCTCTGATCAAGCTGTTGCCAGGCAACAAAGACGTTTATGTGTCACATGACACCTGGGATACATACCAGAGTATGCTGAGAATACTGAAGAAATACGACTTTGCTTTCAAACCTCAAGGAGGTAAGGTTATGTCACACATGGTATGCTACTCTAGGATGCTGTATATAGTTTACTTGCATAAATATAATTTTGTCTTCATGTTTATGTGGTAGATTCCAGTTTGGTTGTCCCTGGAATTTTCTAAAAGATTTTGTTTTTTAAAATGGTGAAATCTTCAAAATTGACTCTTGGCTTTTGGTAGCTATGAGCTGTCTTAGCATTTAAGCTGTAATCTTATCCAAAAGACCATTTCATTGTTAAATTGATTTAAAATCTTAACATTAACTTATATGGATTCCTTATTCTAAAGGCGCTCGCTTTGAAATTCAAGTTAATAAAAAATACAGTTTTCTGCCCACAAATCCAGCTGAAAATCCAGTTTTCTGCCCATTTCAGTTGTCACATGTATATCATTTATAGGCTATTTATGGTATACATGTATATATAATTCAGACCAACTGGTTAGGGAAACTGTCAGCCTGTATCACAGTATGTGACTTAATTAATGTTAATCACCAACAAACTATAGAAATAGCAGGAAACAAAATATAGACATGTACTTCATTAGTTTGAACCATATTAATCCAAATTTTTATACTTAAAAACATCTTATTTAATGTTAAAGCTAACTCTGTGTTGAAGACCACATACAAAATAAGACCACAAATAGAAAATCCTTTTTCATTTTCCAAATGACTAATGACTACACTTGAGAGACAAGCAAGCAACAAAACTGATTCTTCAGTTTCCAAGGTGATCATTATTTAGAGGTTAATACTTGGTTGCTGCTTGGCATTATGCGATAATGGCCCGAAGATGTGCATAATGGCCTGAGGGCCACAGGCCCGAAGGACATTATGGACTCGAGGGCCATAATCGCATAATGCCGAGCAGCAAACAAGTATTAACATCTTTTATACCTATGTCTGAAATACGGCATTTAGACATCGCCACTTATCTTGGTTGTTGCCCTTTCTAAGAAACGGACAGTTGTCAATGTAAACAAATATATGTCATTCAGTTTAACCATATGATTACCTTTGAAAACATGGCAAAACATAATAAATATGAGACAATGTTGTTTTATTGTTGTTTATATCTATAAATACTCTATATATTTTTTGTGAGAATAACATTTAGTGCCATTTTTTTGTATACTTTTTTGCCTTCAAGAACAGTTTCTGAGACTGATGTCTTTTTCTACAAACTGAAATCATTTTTGGAAGTTCTGAGGGTCATGTTTTGTCTTGGGTAGAGTTATTGTATTCTTTTCTCAAGTTTATTAATCCTCAATGTTAAGCTTTGTTCATTGAGATTGATTTCATCATTTTAACTTAAAATTACAGTTCATTCAACATCAGCAGCCATCTTGAAAGTCACTGAGAGTTGATTACATCATTTTGCATGTGCGCTCATTCACTCGCCCATTATGGAAAAATAATGCAGAGTAGCAAGGGGGCCGACATTGCATAATGACCTAGATCTTGCCATAATGGCCCTGGAATATCCTAGATTTTGTTACTATATATAGTAACATAGGTTTTAGTGACAAGTATGACTGCATTGTGTTTTTTAACTACAACCTGTAGTAGTAATATAATGTGTAAATGTATGTTTACAGAACCTGTTGCTGGTAAAGTGATAACAATGTCTTCATACCCGGGTGTGTTATTGTCTGGTGATGACTACTACCTCATCTCATCGGGACTGGTAATTATTCATATTTAACTCTTGAAAGCAGCACGTCTCCAGATTCATCCTAATTTTCATGAAACTTTTGAAAATGTATTAAAAAGTAGAATATTGTGAAGTGAACAAAGAAAGTAATTAACACATTGCAAACAGCACTTACAATTTATGTGAATTACGCAATAGAGGTCAAAGTATACCAAAAATAGCCCTTACTGTGTTAATAGTGCAATAGAAATATGGTGATAAATAATGCAAAATCAGTCATTAATCACACATTAGAGTTAATAATTCCTTGAATTTTGAATCTTTTTACTTTTCTTACAATACTAGTACATGTATGTTTTTTCCCATGTTTATTTTGGCTAATCTGGAGGCATGCAGCTTTTAATAATAATTTTATATATCAATGTAGTAGATGTATGCCACTAGAATTGGGCATTGCATTCAGATTTTACTTGAAACTGTTAGTCCCTGTGAGTACTTAATGGCTGATTTTATCACACACCTGTGCCGATTTCGCGACTCCGTAAATATGGTATTGCACGGCCGTGCATATATTTTGACGTGACGTCATTAGCGTTATACAAACATATTGTAAAGCCGCGCTAAATGTTAGGGTTATTCTATAGGCGCGTCAATGAAAAATGACTCTTATTTCACTTTAAACGGTCTTTATTTTGGGTAAGTGATAAATAGAATATTAAATTCATGTAAGTTCATTACTGAATTTATTGCACTCGTTGAATAAAATAATATTATGCTCGCCAGAGGCTCGCATAATATAATTTTATTCAACTCGTGCAATAAATTCAGTATTGAACTTACACTCATTCAATATCCTCTATTACTTCTGACTTAGTGTAGTTATTGTTTTAATCCTGTTTAAATAGATCGGGAGTGCACATTGTTTTTAATCTGTTTATTGCCTGTCTGATTTTCACAAAACTTTAACCCTGACCATAATTCATGAGTCCTTCAACTGTACAGCCCCAAAACATTATAGGTGCCTTAACCTTGATGAGCTCTACCCATAAGACCCACTTAGAGGTCACAGGGTCCAAGGTCAAACTGCCTCCATGTAGGTATGTTGTTCAGTCGAACATAGTGCTTGTTTATAGCAGAATGAAAAATGAAATATTAATTGGTGTTAATATTTTTATCTTTAAGAACCATAGAATTATCAATTTTAATATTTCAGGCAACTCAAGAAACAACTATTGGGAACAGTAACCCTGCAATTTATAAATATGTGACCAAATCAACTGTACTTGAGGGTATTCGAACAATGGTTGCGAACAGAATGGCTACAACAGGAAATAATTGGGCTGAGACTTTCTCACTGTATAACAGTGGAACGTATGTTACTGTTGATTAATTTTTTTAAGTATATGAAATACATGTACATGTACTACATGTATGTTCACAAAGAAATTTCAGGTCTTTTTCTTTGTTTAAGTAACCAAATCATTATTCTTTTCTTTTATGAAAGAGCCAATATCAAGTTTGAAAAGATTGCACATTATAGAAAACATTTAATGAAATTGTAGTGTACATACAAAGAAAACAATTCATTTTAGTGTATATACAATTAAAATATATTAGTTAGTGTACATACAAAGAAAATTATTATTTTTTCTATATATACAATGAAGTGAATAAATTTTAATGAACATACATGTAAATGGAAAACAGACTAGTTTGGGTGTACGTATAAACATATTCTTTTATGTGTACCTACAATGAAATTTGATTTTATTGAATAGTGATTTGGAGCATTTGATTTAACTTTTTTTTTTTAAATTCCAGATATAACAATCAATGGATGGTTATTGATTATCGTAAGTTCACCCCAGGCTTTGCACCTTACCAAGGATTCCTGACAGTATTAGAACAAATTCCGTAAGTACTTTCTTTTTTCATTGAAATTGATACATGTAATTATTTGTTAGCTATCCAGGAAAGCAAGTTAGGTGAACCGACTGCCAAGGTATGAAAGTAATGTGTTAAAATCGGTATACAACTCAAACAAAACAAATCTCTGCATGTAGCAGAGACTTCTGCACATCTTAAACTGTTTATCATTATGTGAATTTGCTTACTGATAATTATTCTTATATGAATTTAAAGGTTGTTGTTCTTTAAATTTAATATAACTATGTTTGCTGTGAGAAATGTTTCTTTACAGAAAGTTCGCCAAATGATAATTGTTCAATTTGGATGCCTGATATGTCTTACAAGTTGCCGCCAAATGCATATTCTTTCCCGCCCTTTATGCAAAAGGGTTGAACTTACCCTTTAATTTTTCATTGGGTTTTCAACCTTTTGCCTAAGGGGGCCCGGCCCAAGCAGGTTTTCCCCCCACTTACCTTTTAAAAGCTTTCAATTTTTATTGTTACTTAAAAAAGTTTTCAGCAAAATTTTTTAAAAAAACAAAAAAAACAATTTTAAATTTAAGTTCATTTTTTTGCAAAGGGAAGAAAAAAGCATTAAGGGGGGAAGTTTGAAAAAAATTTTTTTTTAAAATAAAAAATTAAAAAAATGTTTTATGTAAAGGGAAAAACACCTTTTAAAGTCCAAAATTTTTAGCATTTTAAAAAAGGTTTTTTTTTTTATTTTATTGTAAAGGGATGTTTTTTTTAGTGTCCCTTTACTTTTACATGTTAAATTTTTATAGTGAAAACCCTTTTATAACTTTTTTGGGGAACTGTAAAATATGATGATAAAACAGATGTGTTAAGGGAGCAGACGTATTGGCCAAGTTACAATATTGCGTATGTAATATGGTTACAAATGTTTTTTCAATTATTCAAGATGCAATAAGCAATTTAATTAGGAAGTTTACTTTTTTCTTAAATCCATACACCTCTTAATTAACAAAATGCCTAAAATATTAATGTTTGTTTAATGGATTTCAGTTTTAAATTATAAACTCTGACTGCCAACAGTAAAGAAAATAGATTAGGGCAAGGCTGAACAAATATACGATACTCGCCTGACATTATTCTGGTAGTGCTGGAATGCCTTATTTGGTGTGCATTATGATATGCTCTCTCATTCTCTTTAGTCACATAGGTTCAACTCAGTGTATACTTGTTCTTTCATACCAGTTTGATAGAATGCTTTGACATAAACACATATTGCTTTCATAGTTAGAATAAACTTATATATATTAAATGGTGTTCTGGTGATAACTGACCATTGGCTGTTCAGATGATAGTACATTAGTACATTATTCATGCTAGCATTTACAGTTTAATTTAGAAATATGTAAACATAACATAAATGACATAAAAGAGATATAACCGTTTGAGCATAAAACCATTGAAAAAAATATTTGTGTGATCATTGAAATGTATTTCTGGCATCATTTCAAGAACTTTAATAAGTAAAAGAGAGTTTTTTCATATATTGTGAATGAAAAAACTGCTTACATTATTTTAAACTATTCACTAAGTTATTCAATTATATATTAATGTGACTCTTTAATAGATAAGCAAAAACAGTAATGCCTTTTTGACTTTCAGTATACCATGTTCATGTTTTAGCAAATTTCGTTTTCAGCTATTTTCCAGAAATCTTCAACAAAAGTGGTTGCTGGGACAACGTGAAGAAATATGGAGACTGGTTCACATATGACAAATCTCCAAGGGCTCAGATATTTGCAAGAGATCATATGAAAGTGAAAGATTTAGAGTCCATGCAGAGATTGATGAGGTTTGTTTGTTTGTTTGTTTATTCGTTTAAGGGTTTACACAGTTTTACTTTTAGCTACACTTTTTAAGGAGCCTGCATGGCTGAATAAGTTAACCTCAAATCACTTGCCCCTCACCGCTGTGTGTTCCAATCTAGTCAAGAATTCTGGATTTTTTCATGTGATGAAGCTATCAGCTAGCTAACAGAATATTTGTGGTTCTACTCCACCTGAAATAATGTTTGGTTTTGCGGCGAACCAACACAATTTAGGTCATATGGCACTCAAACAGGAAAGATAATTTGGCTGTGTTGTCTACCACCATTATAATGGGGACAGGTCTTGTTTCAATTATCATTGTTTCATTATTTTAATATTGTGCATTATATATGTTATTTGAACTTATATTTGACGTTTCAGATACAATGACTTCCAGCATGATCCTCTAGCAAGATGTAACTGTACCCCACCTTACAGTGCTGAGAATGGTATATCAGCAAGATGTGACCTGAACCCAGCCAGTGGAACATATCCTTTTGGAGCACTAGGTCACAGATCACATGGTGGCACAGATATGAAGGTGACTTTTTACTTAGTTTTCAAGTGATTTCTGTTTATTTATAGTGGCAGCAGATTGGAGTTTTATCTTTTTGAGCATGGTGCAGCAGATACTGAAATTATTGCATTCCAAAAGACACAACTTTGTCTTTAACATGCAAGATGTAAAAAACACCATTGGATCTCTAACTTTTAAGTCTTTTCCATGAACATTTGATGATATTAGTTGCAAAAGTAGGAGATCACAACCCCTGGATTTAAATTATATTCTGACAGTGAAACATTATGACCACTGTGCCATTCTTTAAAGAATGCCTGTGCCAAGAAGTTAAGATCATTGGCTTCAAATCACATGCCCCTAACTGCTAGGGGTTCCAATCCAGTTAGAGACTTTGGATTCTATCATGAGAGGAGACTTTGGATTCTATCATGAGAGGAAGCCATCCAGCTAGCTTATGGAAGGTCGGTGGTTCTGCTCGATCAGGTGCCTGCTTGTGCCTGAAATAATGCCGGGAGGATCACCTGAGGTCTTCCTCCACCAGTAAAATTGGAAAGTCACCATATGAACTATACTGTATTGGTGATGTGAAACCCTACAAAAAAATAACAACAACAAAAAAAGTATATTCTTGATGTTCAAATGTAGATTTCCCAGGTATTCCTCTGATTTGTGTATGGGGCCTATACGGTTAAGCGGTTATGATCTGTGACTTTGAATCACTTGCCCTTTACTGCTCTGGATTTCTTAATTCTTTTACATTAGGTAGCTATGTAACTATCTAAGGGACTAATAGGTGCAATTGGTATATAAAATTTTGTCCCATTATATGAGCAGAGAATAGTCACTTCTTTTATGGAAGACAGACAAGCATGAGTCTCAAGCATAAAATTGTTTTTGAAATTGGGTAAAATTAGATGAATATTCTCATAAAGTCAAAAATAAAATTCCCATTCCAAAGTGCTACATTGCATGATTAGGTTAATAGAATTATAGACTAGCTATCCGTTTACATTTCTTTGTATATGTGCTTAAACAGAAGATTATTGTTTGCAATCACAGGACGTACCATTTCATCTGTTTATTTTATGTTGTTGTTTGTTATTCAAATGATTTAATGTATATATTTCAGCTGACTAACTATGCCATGTACCAGAGCCTAGAGTTTATTGCAGTAAGTGGACCAACTTACGACCAACTACCACCCTTCCAGTGGAGTAAAGCAGACTTCGCAAAGGACTGTCCTCACCATGGCCATCCAGATGTCTACAAATTTGACCCGGTTCACTTTAACGGAACCTTGTCTAGTGTACGCCCTTTCATAACTGTGCAATAAGACAGAAATATTAGCAAGAGGAGTAGAGTAATTTTCAAAATTCAAAATATCTTATTTGTTGATTTCAATGTGATAATTGTTTTTACAATAATAATAGTCAATCTTTTTTTGACATAACATATATATGTAAGTATTGACCCTCAAAACACATGTGTTAAACCACACTAAATAACATACATGGACTTGTACACCTTTCAAGCTGGACACAACCATTCATAATTTTTAGGAAATTTTCAATAACTGAGTGAATAGCGAACATTGCAACATGTACTATGATTAGATGGAACAAAATGTGCCAGCTTATATTGGTCTGCATGGTCGCATGGTTAGAATTTTTTGTTTTGTTTGTTTGTTTCATTTTACGCCTTTTCCCAACAGTATTTCAATCATATAGGCGATGGTTAGAATTAGTTGCTGGCCAGTATTCTAAGGTTATTATATTGTATGTGATATACTGTTTACAATACATTTTATGATTATCTATAGAAAATTGCTCTTATTATATATATAAACAATATAAAATTACTAATCACTTATTTGGTTGCCATGACTTAATTAGATAAAACATTATGAGTCAGCAGGAATGTGAATTTTCAATGTTTAGTCTTAATTTTCTGACATTTTGGCATACTTAAAGTATTGCTCAGTTATATGTAAATAAAATGATAAATTCAGAGATAAAAGGTAATTGAGTCTGTTGCTCATCTTATAATACTTGTAACTCCACAAAATTGTGAACTGATTTTATAAAATGAGATTAACATTTATTTTGTAGATTTATCCTTTATTTAATGATAATAAAAAACAACCACAACTACCGGTGTATGTTATCTTCCTTGTTTGTTTATTGTTTTGATTTTTTTTTTTAATTGTTATAAAACATTTTTTTTAAAACATTTTTTTTTGTATTTAGATATTATAAATGTTGTTATATTTTTTACAATGAAATAATATTTAATCTGACAAACATGTGTATCTATTTCTGGAAATTTATTGTTAAGGTGATAAGACATCATTACCCTACCTTAAAGCAGCATGCCCACAAATTCATGCAAATTCAAATGAAAATTATGAAAATGTATTTAAAAGTAAAATATTGTGAAATGAACAAAGAAAGTAATTTACACATTCCAAATGGCACTTTTATTCCACGTAAATTATCAAAAAGAGGTCAAAACATGCAAAAATTGCTCTAACTGCATAAGTCACGCAGAAGAAATATGCTGATTTATACTCCAAACTCAGTTCTTAATCGCACACAATATGTAAATTATTACTTGAATTTTGAATCTTTTAAGTTTTCTTAAAATATTTGTATATTTTGTTAAAGTTTAATTTTCAGTTTCCAGTCAAGCAAAATCAAGCATAATATGGACATTTAAACCTTGTTTGAATTACAACTGGGACAACCCAACATAATTATTAATTTTGTCCCTGTTTGTATAATGTGTTGTTAAATACCTTACTTTGGTTTCTGAAATAATGTTGTTATAACAACTATTCCATGTTTATAAAAATAAATCTATTTTTTTGTATGAAAATATAGTAATTAAATGAATATATTTGTAAACTTTGTTGTTGTTTTTTTCTTCATAAGCTAATAATAAGAAGTTTTTTAATATATAAACTACTTCTAAAGCAAAAGCCTGTGAAAGGTAAATTATTTAGTTTCGTGAGTCTGACTCAATGAAGGTGAATTGTCAGTACAATTAACCATGATGAAAGTTTTCTGTGTCATATACAATGTTCCCAATTAGAACCACCAACCTAACTTACAAGTTACAACATAGATTTCAAGATTATCAGCAGGAGTTGAACCCATAAGCTGAGAAACTGATATGAGGCCTTACTGCCATGGAATTCTCATGAAAACAAAATTTGTCCCCATGTTGAAATAGTAATAGTGATAAAAAAAACATAATAAATTTTTATCTACATGTGTACATCATGATTTTCAGTAAATAACAAGGAATAGTTGTAAAATTTGTTTTATATTTAAGAAGATTCTTGAAGGTAAGATTTATATAACACAACATGGCCTGACAGTTTTAAGACTGCAATCTTAAATGTTCTCAAACTTGTTTTAGCATCTTCATCCCATGATGTTACAATTTTCGGAAATACTTTTTGTAAGGGTCCTACATAGTTAGTCTTATAATTGTAATTCAATCTTTTCTTATAACAATCTCTGACAAACTAAAACAAGCTCCAAGCATTTTCAGGTAATTGTTTGGGATTATATCTAAATCGTGATCTTTTAAAGGGTCTCCACTGAGGGTTTTTTGACATGATGGGACTGAAAATATTTTTGTCAGATAAATGTACCAATTGATGTATGTTCAAACCACTGATCTTTGTGCAAAATTTCAGATCATTCTCGCACTTCGTTTTTCCAGAATATTTATTCAAATTGTAAAAGAATGACCCAAAATGAAAAGCGTTTAAACGCTTTTCACTCAAATCAGGCTAAGAAAAGCATATTGATACGATTTTCAATATATTTCAAAGTATATTTCTTAACTATCTTTGCATATATTTCTGTTTAAAGTGCCTCAGCTCATTTATGAAAGAAATTCAAATGTTATGTTCTCAGGCTTTTAAACCTCAGTGGAGTCCCTTTAAAGGGTATAAAGCTATATCTTACGATTTTTTTTATAAAATTTCTAAACAGTAAAATTATGCTGTTTCAATAAAGTCTTGGATGATTCTCGAAAGAATGGTTACATAAAATATCTTTCTATCTGAGCAAAACTATTCATCATTTTATAGAAATTAGATAAGAAATATACAGAATAGTGAACTATGTGAACTATACAGACCATGATTAAATGGCACAGACATGCTGGCTGATCTTAGCTAGTCAGTACTTGCTGCATGGATAGATTGGGATGCCACCAGCAGGGTAAAGTTCAAAATGATCTTGCTCTACACTTCGGTGAATTTAGAATTTAATGTGTTTTTTTTTCACATAGATCTATGTAATTTCTTGTTTAGACCTAGATCTATAATGATCTTTAAATCCTGTCAAAATTTAGCTTAGCTGCAAATTACAATATATGCGGTAAAATGTTCGCACGCATACAATTTGCGTCTCGGCGACGTACTGGATAAGTTTGAGATAGTGGGTCTCCTCTCCAGCTATTAAAGATCAGCCAGTTTTTTTTTTTTTTTTTTTTTTTTTTTTTTTTTTTTTGCTTAAAAGTAACACTGTCTTTTAGTAAATGACTGCTGAATAATTAGAATTTCTGAAAATAGTTTTTTGATAACTGAAATGTTGACGGAAAACAAATAGCGTCCGACCTCCTCTTGAATGAGAACGATAATCTAGATCAATTTTAATCTTAATCTTACACAATATTTTCTAAATGAAGTAAACAAAAATATATTTCACAAATAGATCTATACTTGATGAAGAGCATGCACGCTTTGTATGGTTTCATCAGATTTAAAAGCTCTGCACGCTTAAAACTTTGAAAATGATTTTTGGCGCGCATTTCGTGCAATAGTAATCGTATCCAGGCAACATGCGGCGAACTAGCTCAACGTATATTAACGAACGTGCACGGAGATAACCGATCTCAATTTCGGCAGCGGGTTCATAGAGGTCAGATGGCCCAAATTTGGAAAGTTGTAACAAAATACTGATGCTGCACAAAATGGCCGAATGAATGAGTTATTTTCAGTATAATTAGATGAAATATTTGTGATAATAGTACAGAAGCAGGATTATAATAGTGAACAGGTAATTGTTTTAAACATGTGTGACGTTATATATGGTTACGGGCTTTAAGCATTTATATCATGACCGAGAGTAAAAAACTTTTAATAACAAACAGTCGCTTTTAATAAGAAACAGTCGCGTAGCATGTCGGTTTTTTTCCGTTAAAGCTGGCCGTAGATTTACAATTTGCATAAAAATGTATAGACATATTGACGTGTGACACTCATAAAAAAAAGTCGTCTGTATATTGCATATTCATAGTTTTAATTAAGTAGAGCAATTAATAATCAATTAGTAACATCCTGAAGAAGAAACATGCCATAGACTTATAATAATCACTTTCAGGTAGAAAGTCAACACAATAACAACTGAGTTTTTGAACTATTTCATAATCACATTGATAATAAAATTTAGGAATTATCCTGATATTTAAAATGTGTTTAATGTTACTGCAAATTCAATCATGATGGAAATGCAAATCCACTTTAGGTAAAATTTACCCATGTGCCAACATTTGTTTTGATACATCAAAACCTATGAAAAAAGTAAATGGGTAAGAAATTAAATGAATTGAATCTTCAATTAATAAGAAATAGTTTCACTAGCTAACAAATTTGAAGATTATTATAACAATGTATGCTCAAATTTAATATGTCATGTAGGGTGAGATAAGTGAAATACTATGTTATAAATGATAATATTCATAAATGTTCATAGATCTTAACCATTGTTTTTCTTAACTTGCAAAAATAAAAAATAAATAAAAAGAAACTAAGCAAAAAACAACACAGAAAAAAAAACGGTTAACTAAATTAATAATGTTTGTGATGCCTTTAAGGTATATAAATATCTGCTTTGTGTAATTGATTACAGGTTTTGCCTCCCCCTCAGGGCCTCGTTCAAGTCTAATTGTGACAAGTAATGTTTACTACCCCTTGAAAAATGAAGATGTTACATGAATAATACACAGATAACAGTATGACTTGGTAGTCGAGATCTTATCTTGTGAACACATCTTTTATATGATAAAAAATTGGTGCAAACAGCTTCTGAGTCAACAGGGCAATCCTAAAAATGATTAAATATATCACTGTATAAATGATTACTGCGGTTTTCTTTGTGTATATATTAACATAAGTATATGTTAAAGTGCATATTTATTGTGCACTATTGTAAATAAATATGTTGATTGTAGTGTTTATATCTGGCTATGGAAGAGAAATTATTTATTTTTTATTGCTACTCATTGTCGTATATACATGTAACATGTTCTTTCAGTTTTTCAGACTTACTTTGTCGTTCATTATGAAAAAGCATGCATTAGTCTAAAAATATAGTCTTACATGTCTTCCATGGTATTCTTTAACTTTAAGATATGGATCTTGTTTTTCAACAATCAGTTTTAAATGTACAAAAAAATGAACCAACCTTAAATGTTTTGCTTTAAATACAGAATACCTGGCTGGGTACTTTAATTTTGTATTTCTTTATTGATTTCTAAGTCCAATATTGTAAAAATTTCAAGGCCAAATTAATTCTTGTATGGTCAGGTTGGTCTTATTGTATGTCTGGATTACACAGACCTACCTATATTTTGACTAGTCATTTAGTGGGTTATGAAATAAGCTGCTATTTTTTTTTAAACTGCATATTGTATAAGCACTCCTGAATTATATGAAAGTAATCTTCTTATACATTGAATGTCAGGTGTTTTAACTTTTCATTGGTTAAGGTTAATTATAGGTAAAATATGACAGAAGTTGACAACTTAAGGTCAATATATTTTAACATGAATTACTAATATTATTATCAATATTGCATAACATTTTAACACTACATTGGTGTATTGTGTTGTTATCATTCACAATCATTTTGATTTAAATAACAGTTATCTATGTTAATGGTGTTTCCATCAAGGCAGAAGGGAAACTAGAAATGGTGGCATTTGTTAAATGAATAATTAAACCATGTGCCTTTCTTCAAATATATTTTTTTCTAAAGAATTTTTTAAAGTTCAACCGTTTTGATCAAAATAATTATGATGTGATCATGTTTAAAAAAAAATTATCAGAAAATACACATATGAATTCTATTGTATTTATAATAACATGTATTAATACCATATTAAATTTTCATTATTTAAACACCATATTAGATTTACATTACTTTATTAGACAGTAAAATTTGATTGAAAAGTGCAGACTATAATTTTGGACTTACCACAAATAATTGCAGAATTACAATTTGAAACTTCACTTAACAATTAAAAATTACCACACAAAATATCTTGTCCGTCTTTCAATCAGGACCAAACTATTCACCAGTCATAGGGTGAATTTCAAAATAAGTACTGACTTAATTGAAACAGTACAGACCATGATCAGATGGCATGGACGGTCCGCACTGGTCACATGGTCAGATGCTGCTGGTAGAGTAGTAAATAAGAATGTAGTACATTGTGTATACATTTCTTTGTAAGAGACAGAAATTTAAAAAAAAACCTCGACTTTGGAGAATTGTCTTATGTATGCCTGTAAAGATTGTTCAAATTATTGGCAGTTTTAAAATCTATGCAACTATAATTAGAATTTTTTACTTCTCTTTCTCAATTTGAACAAACATACCTTTTGGCATTCAATGAGGAATGCTTTCCTCTTTCTGAATTTATACTGGAGGAAAAAGCCCAGAAGTATCCGGTACCTATGTTAATATATTACAACTAAAGGGGTTACAACAAAAAAAAGTTTATTTAAAGTTGTCTAGTTAGAAAGAGTCTTCACAAAAAAAAGATACTAAACAAAAAAGGTGTGATGCTGTGAACCAGGGGTTAATGATCATTCATTATCTTTGAGTCTTTGACTTTCACACAGGTGTGATTGGGATGGTTTCGGTACATCAGTTGATTTATAATTAATGTGTCATGGTGAATTAGAAAACAAGGTGAAAATATTTCCTCTCAGGTATTATGACTCACCTGTGCTCTTTCTTCTCCCTCCTGATTGTCTGAATGATGCTATACTCATTATCTGTCTGTTTAGGCATTACAAATAATTGTTTGGGTCATGATACCTCAGATCATTTATTGGAGATTTCATAACTTGAGTGTAATTCTCTGACGTCATTCTTCAATAAAGGTTGCAAAAAAGCTTTCGTTATGATTGTCTGCTACAGGTTAATGTTTCTAAAGAGACATATACATGTACATTCAACACCAAAACATTGGTTCCCTTGAATTTGTGGCGTATATTGATATTTTTTGTTGCCGTTTGGTTTTACATCACATCAACACTGTACAGGTCATATGACGACTTTCCATATTTACTGATGGAGGAATACCTCAGGAGCCCCTCTGTACATTAAACAGGCACAAACAAGCACCTGAGTAGAACCACAGGCATTCCATAAGCTAGCTGGATAGCTTCCTCACATGTAGAAAACAATGACGCTTGAGTGGCTCAAACCTACAGCAGTAAGGGACTAGTGGTTTGAAGTCAATGACCTTAACCACTCTGCCAAGGATGCCCCTACCATATTGATTTGAAAAGATTAGAGGAAAGTATAAGAAGAGAAAAGTAAAGATGTTGGTGATTTTGATAGCCTTTTTTGGTGCCATATGTCCTGTGGTTGTGCGCAGTAAAAACAAACATTTGGTAGTAATAAGGTAGATATATGTTGATTAGATATGTTTAGCAACATGTATTTTAAATATTTACACATTTCTTAAGTTTTAAATTCTTTTTTTTAAACTGTGTTCATATTTCTAGAGGCCTGCAACTTTAAATATTTAGGTACATCCGTTATCAGTGCATTCTAGTTACATTTTGTTATTTTATAAAGTAAACTTCACAAGGGAGTAAGATGGAAGGAATGTTTTGTGTTGATGCACAGCTCACCTGTAGGATTTTTCTTGTGTTCTTACATCCTGTTTCATTCCACAGGTTTATATTATTTTATAATCTGTTTTTCTGACACTCCGTAAATCATCAGCTTGCCTTCTTGTAAGACAGGATGGTGAAGGATGCTATGCACAAACAATTGTTTATCAGGTCATTTACCATACTGAAAGAAACTGTGTAGGAGCAAGAAAAAAAAAATGTGAAAAAATCACAAGCACAGTGTCAAAAAAATATTTATTATTTATACATTTATTATTTGTAAATTGCAAGCAGTATATTGCATTAAATTGGTTTTAAGTATTAAAAACAAGGCAAAAATAATTTTTTTGTTTTTATTTTGCATAGCCATTTTGGAATAGTTACCTTCTAAGCTAGTCACAGTTTTCCATTCAGGGCTGAAAAAAAGAAATAAATCACATGCAAAAAAAAAATGAAATAAAGAAACCACTTGCTGTAAAATTAAGTAGAAACAGGTTATAAAGTTCAATGCACATTCCTATGCATTGCATGTGGTAAATGTCTGCAGAAGATATCCTGGAGTCCTGAATAGATATAGCTTAAATATCTTGTTATTTTTGTTAAAGATATAGCAATATAAATCGGGCAAATCTGTGCTATCATTAACCATGTGAAGCAGGCACTTGTCAAGCTTTGAATGTTGGAACAAACTATTGATGTATGAGGTATTATATCAAAACAGCTTAAATTGAGCAGACCAGCATACTGCATGGATCATTGGCCTGGCTAGAATATTGATCAAATTTGTTTATTTTATTGATGCCATTATGCAAAATTTATAGGCAAATTTTACAGTTTGAATAACATTTTTTTAAATTAAATTCAAGTATTTTTTGTCTGTGTAGTATTTGTACTTTAATATTATACATGTATATATTTTTTTTTTCATTTTGTTTTGTTAGGTATTTAGTCACACCAATGTTGTATTAAGGTTATACAAAGATGTATGGCAACTTTCCAGCTTTAATGGTGCAAGAAGTCCTCAGATGCCCTTGCTTGTGCGGGATTCTTTGTAAAACCACTCTTCTTCTGTAATCATTAGCTTAGATAGCTTCCGCTCATGAAAGAATCAAAAGTCCTGGACAGGATTTTTTTTTCATTAACAAA